CTGCATGAGGGGCAATACAGTCCACATGTACCACTCCTATTACCCTTCAGATGCAGACTGTCTTGGTCTCTTGTGGTACAGAGGATGGTTCAGCCTCATTCCCATGTTCTAAAATTCTCTCAGTGGTATGCTACCTATGAATAATTATTAGCTGTTCTTGTGAAGGGGAGCAAGTCAGGAACAACCTCCATCACCATCTTGTTGATGTCACTCTCCCCTGTTGTCTCTTCTTATAAGGACACTAATATTGGATCAAGGCTTCCCCTTATGACCTCTCTTTGCCTTAATTACCTCCTTCAAAGGCTCTATCTCCAAATATAGTTACACTGGGCTTCAATATATGAATTTTGGAGGAGGGGGATATAAACATTCAGTCCATGACACTGGTGCTTAACCAATTTTTCTGTGAGTGGCCATCTGGGCTGTTTCCCGAGGAACTCCAAATGACAGTCTCTTTTTATGTCCTTCCTCTAGGGCTGGTTAGATTCTTCAGAAGGGTCTTTCAATTTCTAGTCTGTAGGGAAAGGTTTCAGCTGCCAGTATTCTGAAAACCGAGTTGGAGAAGTTGAATGGGAATTTCATCACTCACTATTTGGTGTGCATGGGTTCACTTAATCATCCTGATTTTTGGCTATATTGCCCCAACTTCAACTTTGCCTAGAGTTCTCTCATTCAAAGACATTTGACTCTCTTCAGGAAATAAGCCTCCAGGCCATTTGTGAGGTGGGAAATGACTTCCATCAGTCCTTTATTTGGCTCTTCTTTTCCTCCCCAGGGTCTGCTGCTGTCAGTTCCTGTGGCCTTTGGTTTCCGTGGTATTAACTGTATTATTGGCTGTGAGCTTTCTCCATTGCTCAGTTTCAAGTGCTCAGTGAGTTACTACTATCCATCTGCTTTATAGCTTCCAAAATCTTATCACTTTTTTCTCTTCTGTTATTCCTGTTGTATGAATTTTTAAAAATCCCCTTTAGTCTGTGTGAGTTTTGGGTGGGAACAAAACCAGATCTGAGTATTCAGTCCTCCATTTTAACCCAGAAACTTCCATTCTTTTCTAAGCAGTAACTTCTGGAATTAGTTTCAGTTCTGTATTTAAATAGATTGATTCCTTACTGCTGGTTCTTTCTTCCCATATTGCCCCTAGTCCCAAGTTCTGTATATGGATGTATTTCTTGGCTGCATTTCTTCATCAAGTAGTTTTTTAGGGAAGAGCTTATGGGTGGTTGTGCCAAGAGGTAGCTTGAGGTAGGTGGGGTGGAGGGGAGATGGTGTTCGCTAGGCAAATGTAGCTTAAAAGAATCATTTTCTAACCCAACTGCCAGCCTGAACCTGTTTGTTTAGAAATTTAGAGTCCTTAAATCTTTGCAAGTTTGTGAATGCCAATTTGTTAACTTTATGAACTCTTCATTTCCTAGTTTTGTGCACTTGGTTAACTTAACTGTTTGGGACCTTAGTTTCTAGTTTGTAAAATAAAGGCCATAAAACCTCAGAGGGTTGTTGGGAGGGCAATACCAGGAGTATCTGTTCAACAGATACTACTTCCCTTTCTCTGCCCTGCCCCTCCCCCTTCCAAGCATTCTCTTTCCTCAGATGGATGTATAGGATCCTTTGCCCACAGCTTTAGCACCCCAAATATGCAGTGGTCCGAGATGCTGTGGAAACAAGCGTCAAACCCAGGCAGCTAAAAGCCAGGCTAGCTCTTCCTCGAGGTTCAGGTGCTGAGCCCTTTCCATCTGCCCTGGTTGGGACAGCAATGACAGTGATCTTGTGCTCATGGCTGCAACCTCACAGACAAGATCATCCTTGAGATAAAAGCATAACCTTCACTGCAGGGCGTTAGTTGGCAAAGGAATCTGACTCAAGGCAGTAATTTCCATCAGGGGAGAAGAGATAAGGTATGATCACTTCTAATCTCAAGGGTATGTTCACGCTCCAGTGCCTTTCCGTGAACTGGCCGCTCGACTTTTTCATCATGGGACTTGTTCACTGTCAAGCATGCTGCTGCTTTTTGAATGAAAAAGGCCAAGTGCCAGACAGGTCTGCTCCTTCCCCGGCTCCTGCAAGGTGAGTTGTGAATGAAGGACGGAAAGACTTGGGGGTGGACACAGGAGAAGCCTATCGTGGATGAATGAATGCTTGTAGAAAAAAAAAATTTTAAAGGAGTAAACCTTAGTGTTGAATCAACTTACGTTGGCAGCTCCTGATTCTAGCTATTGTGACAATAACACAAGACATTAAAGATCTGCTTATGTAAACTGTGGCATCTGCAGATGATAGAATATTATAGATCTATTAATTATAGGTAGTTATTAAAAAGGATTAAATGGATTTATGTGGATAGACACAGGAAGATGTATACATTTGGTCAAATTACCAAGGTTACAAAGCAACATGCTCAGCGTGAACATTTTATGTAGAATTATGTAGAATTGATCACACGTGTGCACACATCACAGGGGATGTTCATCAGTGTTTATTTTACCACGGTTGTCTCTGATGGTGGATTTCAAGGGACTCTGCGCTTTATTGTTTCATTTCAATTAATTACAATGAACATATATAATTTTTAGAGCCAAAAGTGATATTCACTTAAAGTACTCTTTGCTTTGCATTCTCTCATGATGACCTCATTCACTTCCACTATGTGCAGTTTTAAAAACTGGGAAACTGGGGTGCCGGGGTGCCTCAGTCAAGTGTCAGACTTCGGCTCAGGTCATGATCTCAGTGTCACGGAGTTTGAACCCTACGTCGGGCTCTGTACTGACAGCTCAGAGCCTGGAGCCTGTTTTGGATTCTGTGTCTCCCTGTCTCTCTGCCCCTTCCCTGCTGGCGCTGTTTCTCTCTTTCTCTCTCAAAAATAAACAAATATTAAAAAACATTAAGAAAACTGGGACAACAGGATTTTCCTCACAGGCTGTTTGTTGTGAGGATGAAATACTATGAAAGCATTGTTGCTCGAAATCTGTGAGCTGAACAGCTTTAAACAGAAGTGGACTGAAATTTTTTTACCCTTAAAGCAGGAAACGTTTGGTAGAGTGGGGTGAGAAAGGCTGAGTCACTGACTTGTGTTTGAATCCTAAATCCTTTATTATTTATGTATTTATTTAATTTATTCTGAGAGAGGGAGCATGTGTGTGAGCACGGGAGGGGGAAGGGCAGAGAAAGAATCCCAAATAGGCCTTGTGCTGTCAGTGCAGAGTCCCACATGGGGCTCAAACCCACGAACTATGAGATTGTGACCTGGGTAGAGGTCAGACGCTCAACCGAGCTTTAAAGGTTGCGAGCTGAGGCTGGCAGGATCCCACCTCCCTGATCCTTCTTAGGAAGTGGCCCATGGGACTGGGGAGCACACGTGCCCTAGGGGGCCAGGCTGTGGAGGTGCCCGGCACCACACATGTGCCTGGAGAAGCCTTTGGTGGCCAGAAGAGCAGCTGAAGTTTCCAGTGGCAGAGAGGCGGCAGGAGTTCTGCAGGTGCAGCTTTCAAACAACTTAGGAGACTAAGAAGGCTGAGGATGCGCTAGAAAGAGCTATTCTCCTGGGCCTGGAGATGAAAATCCAGATGGAACACTGGCTGATTCTCACTGGAAATGGGCATGTTTCTAGGCAGTTTGTTTGAAAATCTTGCTCTAAATTATCATTTTAGAATAAGCTTTTTTACATTTTTACAAAGGATCTGTTTGTACATTCCACATTTTGATCCATTTAGGTAAACAGGACCTTGAGGATGAGAAAATGGAGGCCCAGAAACTCTTGTGTAAGCCATGGTCACACTGCAGACAGAGGCAAGCCTGGGCTAGCACACTCTCCATTGTCACCCCAGTGGTGTGTGCCAACAGCCAATGTGGCACATGCACTGTTAGTTTAATAATTTTATTTTTAAAGGAAAAACAAGGATAATTGAGAAGTAGCTAAATTCCCTAGACTACACTCCCAGAGAGCCTCTGTAGTTCCCAACAACCCACGAGAGAGCCAGTGCACTTGCCCTGTGGCAACAGAACAAAAAAGCAAACAGCGCTCAGGAGGAAATAAATAGCGTCATAGACTGGAAACCCAAACCTGCAAATTCACAGCAAATGTCACTACATGTGTAACAGGGAGAGGAAAAAAACCTGACATGACTCTTCTCTGTATATTGAGGATTTTATTTTTTGAAACTTTCAGGGGAATCAATTCCATTTAATAAACCTTTGGAAAATGCCACAGAAGCCAGGGGCACAGGTGGAAGGCATGCTCTTGGAATTGGCCCTCTCCAGGCTGTTTCCTCTGCAGATCACCTGGAAGTTACAAAGAGGCAGTTCTCGAATACAAACCTTTGAAAAACATATTGTTCTCCTATTTTTAGATTTGGGCCTGTTTCTCCTGCTTTTTTTGCTTTCATAGGAGTTGAACTCTTATCTTTTTTCACTTAAAACAAACCAAAGTCCATCGTAAAGATATCCAATGCAGGAAACCGCTTCTGTGGAAGCAAGCCTTGACTTAGGGCCACACCAGCTCAGGCATGTGCACATTGGACTCTGCCCGCTCAGGACACACGAGAGGGGAAGCCTCTTGAAAGCTGCAAGTCTGCAAACTGGGAGTTGCAAAAGAGAAGTCTGCAAACGCTGCTGCCCACGGGGCTCCGCAGTGTCTAGAGTTTGGGGAGTACAGACAAGAAAAAGTGTGAAATAAAGGGTGTTTGCAATGGCCTACAGTAGACGGGAGACTCCCAAGTGAGAAAGGCTGGTTTTGAGCTTAACACACAAGCCTAAACTTCAATTCCTCTCTCCCCATCACACTGTTACTGCAAACATCAGCACGGGCATCAGAATTATTTCCCATTAATGAGAGCTCATTTTCTTGTGCCGGAATGTATAGAAAGGCCAGAGACCAAGGTCTGACAGTTTTCATATGTTCTAGCCTTTCTGTCCCTACGGTATACAAATAACCTACTCCTAAGTTTACTCCTCAAATGACAATAGCTAGTTTTACTTCATGAATTACGGCATCTGAACGAGTTGATTTGCTTTCGTCACTGTGCATGAGTCATGGTGGGTCAATTGCAGGCTTCATGCAGACTTTAGAAAGTGGATACATGACTCGAGGACACGTAGCGGCTCTGGGCACCAGGGGTGTGGTGGGCTTGGTCGGCCTGGCCCTGAAGGCAGTTTCCAGTGTCTGCAGCTGCAGGATGAGGGTGAAGCCCCCTGCCGGGGAGGCAGGGTAGTTCCATTTGTTTTACTCAGCCTCTCTGCTGACCATTCAAGGTATCCTGAATCTTTATTTTCTGCCAGGGGGGACACTGCCTCAAGGTGGGCCGGTGTGGCCATTATTTCAGCGTCTTCACCATGTATGGCCCTTGGAGTCTGTAGCCAATCTTTCTGTAATAATTCCTGGTGCCGACCCCTGTGAAGCAGCAGAAAATCAAAGTAAGAGTCTCTATTAAGCGTACTCTGTAAAACGCTCAAAGGCCAGCAGATGCTTCTCGCTCAGCTCCCCTCCCCAGCTCACATTCACAAACCGAATTCCAGCCCAGATCCAATCTCATTTTAACAAGTTTGGAACATCTTTATCATTTTGAATGCAGGCTGTATTAAACTATGGAAGCTTTGTATTTTAGAACCTGTGTATTTCAGTCCTGTTGGCATGCCATGGGAGGAGGTGGGTTTAAGTGTGACCTGTCCACATTCTAAATGGAGCCGAACAGTATCCATGTTTCCTGGAAGGTGAAAGAGAGAAGAGGCGGGGGAAAAGGTCCCCAAGAGCCTAGAGGGGGAAGGGGCACTGAACAAGAAGCTGTGATTCAATGTCAGTGCAACACTCCCTCACTGTGAGCGACAATATTGGCAAAATATGGGTCATATTAAATTAATGCCACTTAATTTGCATTTTATTAAAGTTTTGTGTTAACTGGCATAATTTTTTTATGTATGAGCAGTAAAAGAATTTAGCTGATTTAAGTCCATACTAAAGATCTTTCTTTCTTTAAAAGGGATCTACATATGTTTGAGAAACACTATCCTAAGCGATCCCTCTAATACTGTCCCCAAGAAGATGCTGAGCTCACGGGAGGATAAAGCATGGCTTATATGGTAGTGTCTACTGGAGTGGTTAAGAGGGGACAGGCTCTGGATCAGTTTGATCTGGGCCCATCATTTTACAGGTCTGTGGCCTGGGTGAGTTACTTAATTTCCTTGAACCTTTATTTTATCCTCTGTAATAACATATTTAACGTTTTAAGGATGTGAATACTAAATGAGATAGTCGACGAAATGTGATTAGTCCAGGGTCTGAAAAAGGCCAATTCCTCGGAAACATTAGCTGTTATTCTTATAAAGCTTTTTATGATCTGGTATCTTACTACATTTTGAGCTTTATGTCTTTTGCTACACCTATCTTCTTAAAAATTATGCTTCAGTCTTGGTGAACTTTTAAGTTCTCTGCACATTTCTGGCTCTTTTACTAGCTTCCATGTCTTTGCTTATGCTGTTCCCTGTAGCAATTTAATTGAACCTAAGAAGGGGGCGGTAGAAACCTCCACTTATAGGTGAGAAGCACCAGTAACAACCTGGACTTGCAATTGGCACCTGAAGTGAGGACATTTTTGTGGGCCTGAGCACTTAACCTGTGTAGGATCTGATGCTGTCTCCAGGATGACAGTGTCAGGATGGAGTTAAATTACAGGATACACAGCTGGTATTGCAGAATTGCTTGATGTGTGGAAACACCCTGGTGTCAGTAGCATAGGTATTCACAGAGTATCATGTGTAATGTGAATGAAAACAACAGCGGTTTTCTTTACAGTGTTCTGCCCCCCAGAGCTCTCCCTACGGTGGCCTGTGCTGCCATTTGCCTCCCTAAGTGGTACAAATTCTATTTACCTCGTGCTGAGTATTGTGCATGAAATCAAATAATTGTTAGCTCTTTCAAGTCTAGCCTAGTTCTTTAGCCCAAACATTTGCTATTTAAGAATAGAGCTTTCCCACCATGTTTTGTTTCCCATCCTCTTTGAAATTCTTCATTGTTTAGAAAATGGAACTGAAGCTGACACCATGGAAGTAACAGAACTATGTCATGTGATGACAGGTCACTGGACAATTTCCCTTTTAATTCAAGGATTACTGAGAAGACACGAGAGACTCCTAATGACAGGGAACAAACAGGGGTGACCAAGGGAGGTGGGTGGATGATGGGTATTAAGGAGGGCACTTGTTGGGATGAGCGTTGGGTGTCGTACATAAGTAATGAATCACCGAATTCTACTCCTGAAACCAATATTGCATTGGATGTTATCTAGAATTTAAATGAAAAAAAAAAAAAAAAAAAAAAGGATTACTGACGCTCCATCTTGCACAATTTCATCTTGTCTCTGGCATTCTAATCATTACTTCTGTTCAACATTGTGACTGGGATAGGGCAAGGGGGGAACAAACACAGAATATAGGTCAAGTAATAGCACAGACCCACTGAATACAGGAAGACAGCACAAAACCCCTAGAGGGGGTACAACCACTTTACTGTTTGCACTATATCCTAAAGCTCTTGTTCCAGAAGCATATCCTATAACCCGGCAATTATACTGCCGAGTGAAAAGAGAAATGAAGGCTTACATCCAACAAAAGACATTATTTATAATATCCAAACAAGAAATAAGCCAAACATCTAACAGTAGTAGAAGGGATAAATTACATTTTCACCCACAGCAATGGAAAAAGGAACTATCACTATCCGTATGAACATGGATGAACCTCAAAGGCCTAACATGTATGAAAGAAAGCAGATATAAAAGATCCTGTCAACACAAAGTACAGACACAGGTAAAGTTAATTTTATGGTCCTAGAAGTCAGAGCCCTGGTTACATCTGGAAGATGACATGAACTGAAAGAGGGAAGGAGAGTCTTCTAGAGGGCTGAAAAAGGTCCATCTTAATCTAGTCATTACATGGGAATATAATTCACATGCAAAAATTAATCAAGTGGTATGTTTAAAATGTACTTTATTGCATGTAATATCTCAATTTAAAAAAAGGCTCAAGTGGGGTACCCCACTTAATAGATGCTTCAATGTGTTTTAAGAGCTCAATCTGTCTAGAGAATTCAGTGAAATAAGAATAGAAGGAATAGGATGAGTGGCCCACTCCACATTGAACCCCCAACCTGGACAAACCCACTGCCAGGACACTTGTGCATATACTTCTCCCACCCACAAAGAGGCTAGAATTCATAACCCCCTTCTCCATGCTAGCTGCAGCCCTTACGTACAGTCCTGTTCTGGTCGTCACGCTATGCTTTATTTGACTTGCGTGTCTACCTCCCTTCCTAGAACATAAGCTCTTTGAAGTCAAGGAATTCCATCATCAACTTAATACAGCGCCTGGCATACAATCAACATGCAATAAATGCTTGCAGATATATTGTACTGTATTTGGTTATTATGTTTGGAACATACAAAAAAGTGTGTCCCCGGGTGATGTCTTTAAAAAAAAAAAAAAAATTGGGGCTGTATGTTAGGTGACAGGTAGTGAAAATAACTCATTGTAAAAGGCATTAAGGGCAGGGCTTTATCTAGTTTCAGATTTCCAACCTTGTTAAAGATTTAGAGGCAGCTTTCTGATTTATAGTTATCTGTTATAAAATTGCCCCCACATTTTAAATAAATAGTTTTGGCTTTTTCTATTTTCTAATTTCACAAAGCAGATACCATTTTCATGGACTTAATTTATTATGGAGAATTTCAGATATGTAAAAATAGAGATGAAATACAAACTTCCATATATCCATTACCCAGCTTCAACAATGATTAATTAATCTACCAGACTGCTAAAGCTTCTAGCTTTCTACTCATGTGAAGTCATGAAATACATTTGCTTTCCTTCTAGTTCTGCTCAGCTTGGTCACTGGAGACTAAGATGATGATATATTCTTTACCATTAATTACCAGACTGAAGATGTATGGCTGGTCAAAGTGCTTTACATCCTAAAACAGCTACAACCTGTACCTGTCACCAAAACCAGCTACAGAGGTGAGAGAGAAGCAGCTCCTTACAGCTAACGCAGGACTAGACAGCCCTTGGATAACTGTAAAGTTCAATAGAGTGTGCCCTGATTTCCCAAGCTGCGGAAAAGAATGGCATTACTGGGGTGCCACTAAGCATTCCTCAGTCATGATTCCAACTGAGCATACAGGCTCCCTGAGCTATTTCTGCCTTCATACAGGGCACGGGCCCTAGAAACCATTACAACTTGAGAAGAGGCATTCAGGCTTTGTGCTTTTTTGAAAGAAAGGTATATTTTCAGGCTCCTATCTTTGTTTTCACTAACATGCAGTAGCGCTGAGATGGAAAATCTACTTCTGGACCCTCTGGGAAGATTTAAGTATTTTGGGAAAAGGAGTCTGACCTCCAGGTCTGAACTCCAACATCTTAAAACAACTAGGCAAAAATACTCTCGTTTGTATTTCTTTGTGCCTCTTGTTTCTGGACAGCTCCCCCACCTCCAAGCCCCTGCTGCATTTCTACAATCTGCAGAACAGGCTGGTAAAAGCACTATTAGCCAGCCTGGAGGAGGTCAGGCCACCACCTGGGCTGAGTACAGGCTACACCCTGCTCCCCTCACCCCTCTGTGCTGAGCAGGGCTCTGAAAAGTCCTCCTCACAGTAACTTTCCTCTTGTTAGTTGGCCAACAACAAGCAATTACATTTCACAGCTGACGTCTGTCTGCCTCCTGGACTGACGTAGCCAGACTGTGTCACAGGCCTCAGCGTTAACACTGCTCCTGCCCTTGAAAAGAGATGCAATGGATTGTACCAGTAACTGAGTTCTCAACCTGATGGCCTGCTGTCTCTGCGAAGCCTGGTGGGCTACGGAGTAAGGACTTGAACCAATATGCTGCAGTCCTCAGGATGCCCGATAGCATTGTTAGTAGAACATTCGGGATGGGGAGGATTGGGAGTGGTCCAAATGCCTGGTTTGTTTTATCCTCCAAGTTCTGCAACCTACAACCCAAATTCACCTATATTGTGGGGGCCTTTTTCCTACTCTTGGAGGCAGGATAAATGTTTTAGCTTCACTGCTTTGCCAGATGTGATATGATGACATGAGATAAGGTGGAAAAAGAGTATCCTGACACATGCCTAGAGTAATATTCTGTGATGTGGCTTTCGTGACCAGGCTCTTTAGCTACCTTCAGCCCACATCACATTCCTGAAGCCAAACTTCAGGAATATGTTATAAAACTACCCTTTGAAACTTAAATCTGATTATTCTGAGTAGGTGCAAAAGACTGAGATGATGATTCATAATCATTAAAAAAAAATCAGTAAAATAAAAACAAACTGTTTTAATTACTTTTGGGTTCAATTAATCAACTATTTATTGAGTGCTTGCTATGTGCCTAACAGCATTAAT